CACAATAAGTACATAGAAGCTAAACGTGGAGCTGAAGTGAACCCCCACGCCCACTAATGATACAGAATAATTTCCACCATGAATATCAATTAGGTAATCCTCTAAGACGCCACTGAAAAACAGTTTTATTTCAGTTGCGTCAAAAGAGACCCACCATTATTGCTATCAAACTCATCAAATTTGATCATTATCGGCAAAATATCTTCTGCACGAATAATGTAAAATCCTTTTTCCAGTACATCTTTAAAGTCCTGTTATTCAAAAAAAGGCGGTTTAGAACATACGTTCATATGACTTTCATTTCATAAAATAAATCACCCTCGGAATTGAGGCATCGCAAATTACGCCGCGTATTTTCAACCAGTTCAACGAAAAAAACATCTCATTCTATTCATTTCGAACCAGACATGAGAATAAGTTTTATGAAGATAATACATTTTGGAAAATTTATTATTTTGATTATGAAAGTGATAAAAAATTTGGCAAAGGAACTTTCGATACTGTCATATTTTTATAGTCTGATTCCAATTTGCAATGCGACGCGTTGTTCATTAGAATTCATCATCAACTTAATTTTTTTAAATATACAGACATCTAATTTTTTCGTCGATTTTTATAGCCACTCTGTAATACCAAATTCAGATATCTATTACAATATATACGTATTCTGACGTTTGTCTCTGAAAATAAATCATCCTTTGATGTGTTTCCAAATGTTCCAACAAACGAATGGCTTCCTATGCTGAAAGACGTACTGAAATGAAAAAACACTAAACAGACAACAAATCTGTACGTCACTGAGGAACTATACAATCTCTTTGATATCTGTCTCAAACAGAATTATTTCAAATACAATAAAAACTTTTACCTGCAAAATTCAGGTCTCCCAATGAAGTCGCCGCGCCGTTGAGACCTTTGTTAGGAGATATTTTTATGGACAGCTTAGAAAACACGCGTATCCTGAAGAATGCCTTATCACAGAAACACTTTTCATTCTGTACTTGTGATGCGCTGATTGGAACCTTTGTTGTAATAATGAATATCACTGGAGTTTTATTTGAACACCAAACCGTTATTTTAGCACCTCGACACGTGTTTCGATTACCAAGTGATCATCACCAAGTAATCATCTTCAAGACGAAGATTAAACTGGTAATAAATTGATGGATGTAGCCGTAACTACGTGGTAGGAGATCATAATGAAGAAAATAGAATTGAAACTTTCTGTTTTTTACCACTTTTATTTGTAACTAACGTTACTGCAGTTTCATCCTATAAGGACATTTTCAAACTTATACATGCATTATTAAACTAACAATAGTTGATTATATCAGCCTTTATATAGCACCCATGTAGGTAATACTTGGGGTACTTGGCTTGATTGAGTACCTGAATTTTGTTTACTAGTTACGATGCGGATATGCTAATTTGAAAACCGTAAACTAAATCGATTTGATCATTTAACAGGTTGCACCCGCAATGTTTATGCTTGTGAATTTCCAAGGATTCTACATAATTGAGTTTACAACCCTTCCTTGCATAGTGCAAAATTGCCGTATCGTTTAGATTCGGGAACTTGTTGTTGCATTGGTGATTATTAAACTTGGTGATCATAACTTGGTGATCATAACCAAGTGATCATTTTCAAGAGGAAGATCGAGGTGTTGAATTAACGATTTAGTGTTGAGATAAAACTCCAGTAATATTAAAATTTTATTCTGGTTTAGATATATGGATGATATCCTTGTGGGTTTCGACGGCTCAAAGACAATTCTTGAATTTCCCAACATTCTCCACAATAAGATGAAATTCACCGTCGAAACAGCATTAACTTCCTGGATTACTAAATAAATTACAGTTTAACATTTATAGAAAAAACACTTTCACGTATTGTACAATACATATGGATTATTTTAGTTTATTATCACATAAATTATCGGCATTCAGATCAATGATACATAAAGCATATAACAACCAAATTCCAGCCAACTTAATTGAGCAACTGAGATTCAAAAATTGATCGGGAACGAACTATATTTGAAAACAAAAAAAACAATTTTTCAAAACTCAAAATAATTACACCATTTACTAATAAAAATTATTTAGGGAGCATGTTACTCAACGCAAAACCCGAAAGGGATGAGTGGAAAAAAGTATAGACTAGAATGTGGTGACTGTTCAGCATGCCAGAAAGGCAAAAATGTCAACAAAAGACACCGGGATCATGTGTTATCAGATAAGAAATCAGCTATACATATATAGACATCTGGAAGATACAAACTACACAATTCGTGATGCACTATTTGGAACCTTTGGTGTAGTAATGGATATTACTGGAGTTTTTCCCAACACCAAACCGTTATTTTTAACACCTCGACATGTGTTTCGATCTTCCTCTTGGTGATCGAAACACTAGTCGAGGTGTTAAAAATAACGGTTTGGTGTTGGGATAAAACTCCAGTTATATTCAAACTACACAATAAATAAAAAAAACGTAAAAATTTTTCGTACGTGCGATAAAGGAAGAGAGATGAATTTGTTGAAACCATTAGAAATAAATAAATTGTATAAAAACCTCAATTTCAAAATGCTCAATGATTAACTAGAACTATGCAGCTCTTATCTTTTGAATTCGTGTATTTTGACAACTAGATCAATATTCATGGTAGCTGGAAAATTCCAGGTGTAGGTTTTTGGGGTTAAATAGTTGGTATTTGTGATATATTATAGAAGATAATTAGTTATTGTTGAAGTATTGGTATTGAAAATTCAGGTAACATTTGTTATTTCAGGTACCTATTCCAGGTATCTTATCTGACTGTGTTGTTACGTTTTTCTCCGTGGGTTGACCAATAATTGACTACACTGAACAATAATCAAAGTTAACTTTATTTCACTTCAAATACAACAAACACTTCAACTGAAACTATTATTCGAATCTCTATCGCCTTACTAGATTACTTCGCGAATTACACTGTAACTTTCACTTGACTGTCTCGATATGCTCGTAGCTAGCGTTTACATATCGTATTCGAAGGCGGAAAACTGCGCCGGAAGTCCATCGAAGTCGGTAGAATATCCGCGAAATGTCGGTCGAACTAAGCGCCTTCATCGACATGTCACAATTGGTTTATGGCTACCAGTGGCGGCCGGCATTAGTTTCTTCAGGTATAATTAATAAATGTATTCGAATTGAATATATCAGTTACTTGGGAATGTTGTAACAAACCGAAACCGGCCTTAACAAATAAACTTAGTAGATATTGGACAAAAGTTATTTTCCCTATCCTATATTAAGTATAGGAGAACTGTCCGAAACCCAATGTTTGTTCCTGATGTTTTGGCAAATAAAAATAGTGGAAGAAAAATATAAGTGCACTGAAATGAATTGATTTATTCAACGTGAGCCATGAATTAACAGATTGTGAAAAATTGTCAGTTTTACTGCCAAGTACGTATGTAATCATTCTAATGACGAGAGTCATTAGTTATTATGCTTTTCTTATACGCGAGAAGCTGGAGAAATGCTACAGAATCTCTAGCTTTCTATACATTCTGTCCTGTTTTTTTTCATGAACTTTTTCCAGGAGTATCTAGTCAAACAACACATCTACAGCTATTAAATCATTTAAATGATCTGAATATCAAAACCATGTAATGGTGTGCATAACCTTTGCGGCAGGGGAAACATTACCCAATCGTTTTTAATAAAGTCTATGTTTCTGGTTGAACGTCAACCCGCTAACATCGCGGGGGGGGGGGGTTCCCCACCGCCTCTTCTCGGCGGGGGCGTGAAGGCGCGCTTTTCTGAAGTTGAAGTCAGGTTGCTTCTCTACCCTTATGGTAGAGGTACTCATGAAATGTAGACATGTAAACAGTTAATTTTAATGAAAAAAAATGTTTCCTTTTGCTCTAGCTTTGTATGGAGAATTAGACCCTCAAAGACGTCAGTTATCCAAAAGATATTTTCAACGCATTCAGAGGAGTTTACGTAATCATGGTTCATTTGAAAAACCCTCGAGTAAGAGTTGTACACTAAGTTCAGAAGACATTCTCAGTAATAAAAAATAAAAATAAGTCAGGATTAGAGTGCTTTGTCGACTACATCACTTAAAAGAAGAAAAAAGTTCAGATATTGAAAAATCCACCGTTTGCATTTCACTGACTATGTAGACGGATACTCGCACAACATCTTCAGGATAATGAAAACTGTAATAAAATTGTATGGTGTGAAGAGATTCAGAAATAACGGATTGTTTCTGTTACTTGGTATATTGAATGTTCTTTCGATATGTGGATTTTATGTTTAGCTTCGAGTTCTAGAGCCAAAAAATATTGTTCCTTACTTTTTTGAGGTAGCACTGACCAGGAATTGTATGACCATACAGTGATAAGAAAAATGTCAGGAACCGCAGGTAAAGTAATACATTAGATTTGTCATTAGAGTAGCTACAAAAACCGATGGAAAAAACTAGACGTCCGTATTTGAGAAATAAAGTTGCTGATGAAGTCCAATGCAAATCTGAAATGCAATGCAATGCAATTTTGTTTATATTAGATTATAACAAATATGAAACAGTATTGAAAGTTTCACCTCTTTCTTTTATAGAAGCTGTTAAAGTCAAAAAATGGAATTCAACAATTGTTTCTGGCCAATATCACAAAAAACAAACACTGAAATTCCCGATCTGAAAAAAAGTTTCTAGTTTTCCAAAATAGGAAGTTAGAACCTCGATTGGTATTGGAACTGACGTTATATCCTCATGTAAATTGTATAAATAGTTGCGATAGTTTATTGTTTCAATATTTCAGATACTGCTTTCTCTGCCAGAGTAACCATTTGCATTTCAGCAATGTATTTGGTAGAAGTTATTTACAATTTTATGGTTGGGCGATGAGTTCATCTGCTTCTTACGTAACATTCAAGTACGCAATAACATTAGTGCTCATTCATACACACAAACACATAAAGTTGGTTAATAAACGCAATTTCTTTTCAGGTCTGTGCCAAAGTATTCGGTAACGCCTCTGCGCTGGCAAAGCACAAACTGACTCATAGTGACGAGCGAAAATATGTCTGCAGCATGTGTGGGAAAGCTTTCAAGCGACAAGACCACCTGTAAGTATGAAATGCAATTTTCAAGAAATATGTCATATTTTCCTGGTTCGATTACTCGACGTGATTTTCCATCTAAATTATAGCCGAAGATTTCGTCTCGTTTAAGAGTGCTCAATGTCGATGAGGTATAAATAATTTATAATAAGTTTATAATGAACAGGAATGCAGAAGAGTAGATTGATATGAATAGGATTACATGTATGTGTATGTATAAAGAAAACTTAGATGCATTACTAAAACCAATAACTCAGATAATAAATAATATATTAACAACTAATATTCGGGCTTGAAGCTACAGAAATGATGAAATAGTTAAAATCAATGAGATAAATCTATTCATCTATACAACCACTCATTTTTCTCTGTTTATCCGTACTGATAAGTCCTAGACAGCTAAAATTTGGTATTCGGATGCTTCTCAGATTTAAGATGCACTTTGAGGAAGGATTTTGAAATATTCTGACCGGGGCGCCCCCGTGGATGTAAAAGAGACACGTTAACATATGAAAATTATCTTTTTAACAATGTTTTTCCGTACCGCTTTATTTTCTAAGGCACTCTTTCTCCATACCCTCAAATTTCCGGTGGGTGAATTGATATTTAGTATCAGCATTGCACCCATGCGGATCCGAAACGAGTCGCTAGTAATGAATATTGAGTTTTTCATTCTTATTCCTACATCGTAACAAATTCATCATTTTCGTAGCTTCTTATTTAGAACCATTAATTGAAAATAGGTTGCATATGAAATTCGAATTTTGCGTTGAAATTTGATATTTAGTGTCAGAATCGATTTTTGTTATCATCAACGCGAAGCAAAATATCGAGAATATGCACTTTTCTCAAGAACGCAGTGAGCTCTGTTCAAAGCTGTCACTTGGGCTAAGTATTGCTAAAAGTGAGGTTCATGAAGGTCTATGCCTGTACCAGAAATCAAATATCTGCTTTCAAAAATGACTTCATCTTAAACCAAAAAAATGAGTAAGTGTACTCTACTCTAGATACTCATAATAGCAAGCAGAAATTTGAAGAAATCCGCAGAAAAATCTGTTCAAATAACACAAGTTGTACCCGTTCTCCATAAAACATAAAAATTATGCAAAAAAACCTATAACAAAATATCGAATAAAGTCTGTTGAATAGTACGAGAGCCTACACATTATTCACGATAGAAAGTAACTGTTCTGGAGAAATGTCGAAAAAGTCTATGAATGATATCAATGAACTAACTATTAGTTGAGGTGAGAAACTCAAAGAAATTAAGAAAGAATTGAAGGAATTCAAAAATGCAGGGACCCAAGAAATTGTAGGTTTAAAAGCAAAAAATGAAAAAGTTAGAGGAAGATAACTGTAAATTGAAGCAAAAAATTCAGTACCTGGAAAAAGGATATGTTAAAAATAATATACTCATCTATGGTATCTCCGAAAGTTCAACCCCTATGTTTGACGCAGTCTCAGGTATTATACGAGAAAAATTAAAATGACATTTTGTGATCAACAGATAGCTGATATTTACAGAATTGGGAATGAATCGGACAACTGTACCAGACCGGTTGTTGTGAAACTACTGAGATGCTCTTAAAGCAAAAATTTTGTCCGAGTACGGAAACTACTATAAAAATTTGAAGGCCGAAAGAGTATCGCTAACAACGAGAAATATATCAGAAGGAAATTGTCATACAGAAATCTTCAACTAGCCAGAATACACTCTTTAGAAGCCAATATAAGGAAAAATATCCTCTACATTGGAGATAAGGGATATACTTACGAAGTACTGATTGATGAACCAATAGTGGAAAATCTGATAGTGAACTCTTCAAAAAATATTCGTGAATCAGAAAAAAAGCACTGTATAAAAATCGTGAATTGGACTTAACACCTATAAAACCAACAGGACCAAGAACTAGGAGTAAATCTATTAATGAACGTACGGAAGTAACAAATAAATAATCTAAATTTTTGAAGAAAAAATCATTTGTCCTTCAATATTCAATCTTTTTCACAATTCATTTATTTTTTATAAATTTCCTTCTTTGATTGTAATTGCGTAATCTCAAATGTGATAGGTATAAACAAATTAATATGTACGTGTATATGTATGTGTGTGTATATGTGTGTATATATGTGTATATGTGTATACAGGGTGTTAATTAAGTATGTACCATCAATTCAACAGACGATTCTTTAGGTAATTTTAAGACGAAATGTTCATATAAACATGGGTCCACAAATCCTTCGTTCTCAAGATACAGGGTGTTGAAATAAAAATTAAAAAAAATTATTCATAAATATCTTAAATATCCTTTACCTAATTTTGTTACATATAACATTAAGGAACTAATTTTTCCCGAACGTGATTCAATTTATTAAGTCCAGTGGCGTCTCGAGCGGGATTTGAACAAATATTTCTACCTTAAAAATGTACGCCACTGACTTTTGTGCGATTTTTATTGTACTGGTATGAGGATTTACTTCAATCTCATTTTAAACAGCTTCTTCAATTTGAACTGTTCGTTCCGTTGCAGGCCTCCCAATGACAACCGTCGATCTTTTAAAGCTACCTCTTTCAGAAAGTCCTGCATGGAGACGTACAAAAGTTCTTCTATTAGGCACTACACGCTGAGGAAATCTTTCATGGTAAATGCGTCTTGCAGCATTCGAGTTTCCGTGATCCATTCCATAACATAAATGCATATCTGCCATTGAACCATGTTTTACAAAAATGGTTCGAAAAATAACCACTAAACACACTTTTTATAATAATTTTAAATTGAAATTAAAAGTTTCAACACTTATCTCAGATAGACCAATGATTCGAACTGAATATTAAAATTTTCAAGTCTATGTTGTTTCTCTTTTCGAAACTTGTTCCACTGGCAGTATTCATTGAGGTGAGCATCATCATGCACATCTTCTCGACCTTCTGAGAAAAGCTTCTACCGCTTGTAAACATGTTTCTGATTCAGAGTACAATCACCATATGACACTGTCGACATTTTAAATGTTTTTATCAATTAGTTCCATTTTTTACAGAAACTTTGATACAAATTCTTTGACCCATTTTTTTCGATAGCAGAAAATCGCCGAATAAGCAAAAACTTATAAATTTTGCACTTCTCACCAACAAACTGTATATGCTAAACAGCTGAAACTATGAACATATGTTCGAGACGAGTGTATCAATATAAAAAATAAAATAAACGCTAATTGAATGTACGTACCCAGCGTTCAAACATCCACCTTATTTTTTGAAGAGACCTCGCATTTGTGGGATCGTGCAATATACTTTTTGGCTACATTTTAAGAAGGTTCTTCATTGGTTACTTGTTACACTTGTTCCCTGTTTCTGTTTTTTTCTTGAGATTTGATAGCTTGTACGGTGACTGACTAGAATTGGGGATAAATATCTAGCGGATATATTTAGGATTAGTCATACTTGAATCGAGGATCAAATCAAATCTTCTGTCATTGTTTAGACAGAAAAAATAGTTGCTCTCCTGAACAAAGTAGCAACCCGTTATCTAGAATAGATAGAAAGAAGTTTTTTCTCACCAAATCTTCAACCACCGAGTTCAACAACTACAATTTGGGATTTTATCAATAAACTTTCCGGTTATGAGCATATGAACAGCTATCGAACTTTTGATGCCGTAAGAATAAATTTTGATCTGAGAAAATGAATATTTAGAAAAGGAATTTTGAAAATGTCTCTCTTCAGACTCATTTTGAAGTTACGTTTCGTCTATTAATTACTTCCATGATGATAACCTTCAAAACCGTTGAAAGAATACTGATGGGTCTCAAATCCTAGTGTTTTGTCTTGACATTATTTAGCCAAAAATATGACTCTCGCATATTTCCACAGGAAAAAAACATGCAGATGGTAATGAGATAACTGAAAGTAAGTTGTATAGTATTCATTGATGTACTAGGTGTTACATACGTAAAAATATTTCATCAGATCCTACAGTGATACTTTTATGTATGGTAATGTTTTTCACAAAACTCCATCAAGGGCGTGGTTAAATTTATTAGCACACTGTAGCCAGATTATCATCAAATACATAAAGATATTACAACTATTTGAGTGGACATCTAGAAGTTTCGGATTCTTTGAATATCTTTCGAAAACGATTCACTCAATTTCTGTTGAAACTTTACGACTTTGTCACTTGAGTCAAATCTATTTTGTCTCAATAGCAGTTGATAGAAAACATTAATGCAACAACCCAACTCAAATCCAGCCGTTTCGTTTGATGAAAATATTTTTCGCAGTGAATAACTTTTCACAAAAAATGTTTCTCATTCAATTAACGAAATTCCAATGAAAATTCTTACGAACAGTCATGACGTCTTTTAGTTTATTACAAATATGACTTCCTAGAAATGATTTTTGGACTTTTGAACGGTCGTTTCTCTTGAGGTTGATGTTTGCACCAATGTTCAGATCTCCAGATTCGTGGTCAACGTTCAAAAGGATGTAAGCAAAGATGAAAGCCGAATAATTAAGATTAGTTTTAATTCAGCACGCTCACCCCTTCTGTCTGATGATTGTGAGTCTTATTTTCATTGAAACTAGAGATATTCCACTTTCGAAATGTATTTTTGTCAATTTATGATTCCGAATGAAATTCGTAATTGTATAGTTTTGAACAAGAAAAAATGGATCGTGTTTCTATATATTCGTGATTTTTTCAATTAATTCCAATCGATCAAATCCTATTCCACATTTCGTAATGGAGAATTTGAAGAATTATTCACATTTACATAACTCGCATGTTCAGTTTTCTATTACTAGTTGCTATTTTATTGCAAAAACAATAATATCGCAGTTGAACTGAAATTACAGAAATATCTCGACATTGATCTTCTATTTGAACATGTTTTACGGTTCAGTTCGAGTGAATCAGAGTTAACTCGCTTCAGAACACTTGAGAATTCACGAGGTGACATTCAATTTCACATGTAGCAGGCGACGCGACGTCATTAAACAGTTGACACTAATACGTTGTATAAAATAATGAGAGTCGTGAAAATTTCAAAATGTCGTTTTGATGCTTCGTTATAATTTACTTTCTACTTTTTGATGAAAAGTTTTCTGATAGGTGCAAAATACAAGTTTTCATCTAACTGAATGAAACCTATCCTTATAGTTTTCAAACTCCAAATTTTTCCCAATTTTGAATGAAAATGATTAAATTTGTGGAAGCAGTAAGTAGTCTGATGTTTGATAGTTTTTTGATTGGCACACACTGACTACATCTATCTCGGCAGGTTTTATACTGTTATAAAGATTATTGTAAATGTATATGTTTCTTCAATGTCCTAAACGAACGGATGCACTCAACTGAATGATGAAATTTCGTACGATCGATATTTGAAAAATTAAAACGTGTTCAATTCTAAAGAATGCAATTTGTATGTTCTCCAGATTCACAAATCATGATTCTGAGAAAAACCTTGTACTATGTTAATGGCAACAGGCGGCTTTGGAACTATTTTATCATCTTCTCAATGTTGAATAACTTAATGAATACCCTAATTCCAGGCTCCTACATTTTGCTGAAGTATCTCAGAGGAATCTGGGGTTTGTAAAAATGAATAATTCAGATGAAAATCAGTGATGCAAAAGAATTAACTCAATTTCAGTGTTGAGATGCTTCTTTGTTTTTACCATTCCTTAAGCTTGATACGATAGTTCAACGTTTTGAAAACTACACGTTACAACTTTCGAAAAAATGACTAGCATTTTCATTTCACGTTCATAGTTTTTTCTCTGAAACTGGCTGGTGTAATTACAAATAAATGTAATGGATATTTGGGCGCATTCTCTCATGTCCGTGATAGATTTGAAATGAAAGGGCTATATTTTTTTGGAGAGATCAGTTTTCTGGAAAGATTCTTTTCTACTTTCTAGTTTTCCAACTTCGTATGAAAATGTGGAAAACACCCGACTAAAGAGAGACAGTAATCAAGTTCAAAGTAAAGTCTTTATAAAAATGTGTGTGTCATGCTCAGAAGTTACTTTCAGATACAAACTGGAAGAAAAAGCCTTCCCGAAACAACAACTTGAATCACGCAAAATAAGAAAACTTTCGATACATTCATATGAACTTATATCACTTTCTTTGTTCAATTCGTTTTCCAAAGATTCTTAATGAAATTGAAACAGATAGCAAAAATAGGAACGCTACACGATATAATGCTTGGAACAGTTACGATATAAAATTTCACTCACTATCATCCTCAGTGGCGTACTTCGAAGTTTCGGGACAATTCACTCGTCTTATCACCTCATCAGCACCTTTTTGGATGACATTACATGAACAGCACTCATTTCATGCATTACAACTTTGTCACCGTGGTGATACGTAAAGAAAAGCATTCGCCTATATGATTTAATCTCAGTCATTGGCATCTCGTTCAAATTGAAAGAGGTATATTTCCTAGAAGAGAGTGGTTTTTATGGAAAATATTTTTGTGTATCTACTTTCCCATATTAATAAATGAATCAACTTCTATGATGGAAAGTCAAAAATGTTCTTTTCCAAAAAAATGTTTTCAATTCATACGGGATTTATATGGCTGGGATTGAATCAAATAAGTTCATTGATATCTTTACGGAGTGTCATTGTGACATGAGTATATTTAACTCGTTCATGACAAAGTAATTTTATGGATTAAATGAGTGATTTGTTTTGTGAGACATGTGTTTTATTCCGAAACTTGAGAATGATTGTGTTCCATGTAAGAAGAAATGTATATGCCAATTCTTTTATAATGTAACGTTTCCAGGAAATATATCTATTTCAATTCCATGGCAAATGTTGTTACTACGAATTGAATAGGGAAAAGTGATTTTCGTGAAATCCAATATACTCGTACATACGAAAGTAGTAGTGACAAAAGTACTTTTTGTTTCGTGTGATTCAACAATCAAGTGAAAGTACTCGTAGTTGTTTCGAAAAGGCTTTTTTATCCAGTTTGCATCTGAAAGTAAATTGTGATCATAATATACACATCTTTTTGAAGACTTTGTTAAAACTATGCTTGTTCTGCACATTTATGCAAGTTTTTCACATTTTCATCATTGATACTTTTCATACTATAGTCAGAAAATAGATGATTGAACTTTGCAGAGGATTTGTTAACAATATTTTTATTTTGTAGTCATAATCATTTTCGTTAAAAAAATATGTAAATTCAAAACTCTATAACAGAAATTATTTGAAATGTTCCAATTCAAACATAACATAAAGAAATGCCTCGCAAAAATGTATTTTTCATAATCACTTCTGGACATTCCTGAGTGCTGCGACAGATAGTTGTTAGGGAATTCCGATTGCCTGACTCCGAACAATTTCTGTAATGTTATGAGGAAAGTTTGAGAAATTGGCTGAAATGCGGTGAAGCTTATCTATCGGCAATTTGGTCCATGAGCAAATGTAAAATATTCCCTGAATACATCAGAAAATTATAAAGGTAATAGTGTGACAAGATTATTTTCAAATGATGTATCACTTGACTCGACATGCCATTGAAAGAATTGTGAGGGGTAGCTGCAGCTCGCAAAGGGACGAAGTTTCGGATTTCATATCAGAATTGAATGAAGCCGAAACAAAACTAGTTTTATTCCTGAAAATTTTCTATCATTCCTTCGTTCTTGAGTCGGGGAGGGATTTGAGTTTTCGTGGGAACGTCTTATATAAGCTACTGACTAGTGATACTACGTTACTCCAAACTTTTTTTTTCAGTAACGGCCACATGCTCACGCACCGCAACAAGAAACCCTACGAGTGCAAAGCTGAGGGCTGCGGCAAGAGCTACTGCGACGCTCGTTCTTTGCGACGGCACACCGAAAACCACCATAGCTCAACCGTCAACACTACGACGACGACGACCATGTCACCGGCCCAGGGTGCGGCTTCGGGGGATGCCGCTTCACCACATGGCTCGAGCTGCATCCAGTATGCGCCGCCTCCCACCTCGACTTCTCCCTCTACGTCGAGCGCGGGGGGCAAGAGTCAGCTGCAGCAGCTGTTGGCAACGGATCCTGCTAAGGTAAATTCCAAAATACCCCAAATTATACTATTTAACGTGTTGCACTTTCGAAAAATACCCTAAGTTTGGGAAAAAATTCAAACTTAGTTAATGCCGTAAAGAATTTCATTGTCAAGATGTGCAGTACAGACTATTTAAAATATGTTTATGTAATTTACTTTTGAACCCATCACTAACTAAATACGGGTCCCGAATTTGACTGTTAACGGCTCGAATAATGTAACAGACTGATAACGGATTTCTATACATCTACTGCACATCTTGAGGGAGAGGCTTCTCACCGACCATGACTCAGTCCAGCAGCTGTATTCGATGAGATCCTTCTCGCATGGTGGCGGTGCATTCCTCTCAAGGAAAACAAAGTATTGTGAGAGAGACATTTCGTATTGACATTGCTAGACCGAAAGTGGACGAGAAAACATAGTTGAATCCTATGATAAAAATTCTTTGGCTTTCTATTTGTTCATCGTTGAACAACAAATGAGCGAAACTTTCAACAGAAGGTAGAAAAAAAACTACAATACAAATTCAGCTACATATTTATAGTCATGTAACCATCATAGTGTACATCGACGTTTCATGAAATTATCTTATTACACATTAGGAGTTTATATAACCGAAATTCATCATAATGTCATGCTTTATCTTATGATAGCATCTAAAATGTGTTTTGTCCAGAAACTCCAAAGTACACCTTTAAGAATGATAGAGTTTCATGTAAGTGAAATGTCACTGTTATACTCTTTGATATGTGACGTTGTGTAGCGTATCTATGAATGTTATGTTTCAATTCCACAACAAATGTTTGGAGTACGAACTGAATGGAGAAAGGTTTTTTCGTGTAATTCAGTGTTCATATCTGTATGAAAATCTGTTTTTCCGTTAACCAGCTGAAAGTGACTATTTCGGAAAGGTTTCTTCATTCAGTTTGTATCTGAGAGAAACGTTCATACATGATCAACGTATTTTATAAATAATTTTATTGTTTTTATGGTCTATCTTCCGTTCTCCCACATTTTTGTTCAAAGATGGAAAAGTAGAAAGCCAAATAACTTTTTTTCACAAAGACTAATGTGATATTTGTGTGAAATAGAAGATTGGCCTACACATTTTTTTTAATCCAGTCATCTGCTGGTAACACTAGTTTCAATGGGTTACTGACTCTTCACTATATTAGGGTGGCAATGACATCATTGTTTTCTTTCGCTGCCGCGCTGTCTTTAGCTCTTACCTCTTGGTCAAACCCATTAGAAAAATACAACAAAGCCTTAGATCAGCGAAAGAGATCCACTATCAGCTGCGGTGGTACATCGTATACCATTCACCTGCGGAAAAGTTTATATCGGTACCACCGGAAAATCCGTAGATACAAGGCTGAACGAACATCGGTGAATCTGTAGATTAGGTCAAATAGACGAATCGGCAGTTGTGGAACACGCGCTTAGTGAAGAAGATCACAGGATACTGTTTGAAGATGTGAAACTACTTGCCTCCGNAATAACAGAAATGTTGGCAGTCAATGAAACAATATATAAACTTTCACTACAGTCATTGTGCAACTCAAATAAATCCATGTACATTCACAACTAACCCCAAATTTTCAAGAAACATTTGAAATTACCGTATGTGTTTGAGTTCAAGGTTCCATTTTCAGAAGCTTCTAGAAATACTGTACCCCGTTCCAACAGTTGTCACTAGACCAACTTTATGACACCGGGAATACAACCTACGAATTAGAAATCATCAGTGAATCATCAAGATGACTAAACTTCTGAAGAAGGCAACCACTCATGCTGGCGAAACGTTGTGATGCAGTTCCAAACCACGACGGCCTTCAAACCCAAATAAAGATAGTAACACTGTCCAAATGTTTTTGGCAATCCTAATTCATCAATTATTTGCAAAAATAATTACTAATTTTTCAGAGGTTTCTTTTAATTTCATCAATTTAAAGTTTTATTTTGAAAAGGAGAACTGTTACAAACATGTCCTTGGGCCACAAGGAACTGCAGCTAAGAAGGTAGGAGGTGGGGGAATTTGATATTTATGTATATTTATAATTTTGCAGTTAGTGCAACAAAGGTTAATTATTGAACAATTCCATTATTAAATTGATGGATGTAGCCGTTACTACGTTTTAGGAAATGATAATGAAGAAAAGAGAAATGAAACTTTCTATGTTTTTTACTACTGTTATTTGTAACTAACGAGTTCATTGTATAAGTTCGAAAATGTCCGTAACGTAAGTTACAAATAAAAGTGGTAAAAAACATAGAAAGTTTCATTTCTCTTTTCTTGTATGTATGTATGTATATTAATGTATGTATTACTGCTTATTTGAAAAAAGAAACAACTACATCAGCATTCAACTGATTCACCTGACTTTGATTGGAAAAGTAGGTGTCTTTTATGTGAAAAAGAAGCAGAAGAAAGTCCAAATAATCAAAACAACCAATAAGCTATGTAACTATCTTCGATTACAAGAAAATAAATTTAAATTTTCAAGTCTAGAAAAAAGTGAGTATTGTCTGTCACAGGTTTTTCCGGGTTTTCTTGCAGCTCAAAAAGAAAATGCGCCACTGGAATCAATGAAGTCGCCCCGGAGCGCCAATTAATTTTTATTGTTGTTGTTTTATAATTTCACAAATAAAAGAATTGTAGACGTGTTTGATTCAGTGCAAAATATGAATGCAATAACATTACCATTTTTCAGTAAATTGTTGTTAAAAATTGTTGTGATCAAGATATGGCTTTTTTCACTTTTTATTTAAGCTTCTAACAATACAGTTCAATAAATTTTACAATTTTAACGCCTTACGGCACTCCACTAATTGAAGTACTGGAAAATGTTTGAAAAAGTATTTGAATGTTATTATTTAATTGGAAGTGTGGCTATATAATCTCTTTATCAAACTAACAGGAATGAGATCGCTTCGTCTCACATCATTTTCTCATCCAGCTTCCTATTCAAATGAGTCCAGTCCAGTGATATATCTGAACTTAGGCTCCGACATTATTATTGAGATTACTGCGACCTTCAAGAGCAACGCTGACAGTATTTCCTAAAGCATTACAAATGACCACCTCCGTCGCGTCGGGGAGGACTCAGACTCAGGTGTATTTTTCTTGGGGGAGAAGTTATCTCTTCGGAAACCATGATGAATGCCGGAATATTTTTCACCCGTAGAGATACGCACATTTACTCATCCATTTATTTTCGTTTTAATTTTAGACTTGATTGAAGACGTGCATATTTCAGGCTCAAGCGATCATCATCCGGTCATATTAAAAAGAAGTGTGCATTTACGTGGGAGGGATGAAGTAACTTTGAAAGAGGCGAAATTAATTATTGTTGACGGTTTTGAATATATGTTTTCAATCAAAGAAGATTATTAATGAGTCACTTCATGATATTTTGACTACCGACTCGGTAACTCCATCCAATTACCTAGACTGGGTTGCAATGCAACATCAGTCCGAAAAAAAAAGGTTTTTTTTGAGATGAAAAAGTTGAGAATAGGAACAATTTGAACTGCAACTGTGGGCTTTTCAGCTTTGTCTAGCTCATTACTTGATCACTTTATGTGATAAATCAACAACAATGCATTTTTCACAGTTTCACAGTAGTTACAGAAACTAGTTAGTTTGATGAAGGTGAGTAGTCAACTCCTTGTTGACCCTTGATGAAATTCAATCGTTTTTTGTATGTAATGTGCCGTAGTCCATTTTGTAATCGTGGTGATTCTCTAAAAGGTGACATAGATGGAATTGGTCTTCTTCAGTTAATTTTTTTTTGTGTTCTGAAATTCTCGTTCTGAAAATAAAGACGTTTATCCTATATACACGATCCACATGTTAGTTCGTAGACACCTGATTCATTATCCTTGTCAGCGGTTGATTTGTTATTATTCATATGTCTATCAATCTTGTTCTTCAAGTAATCTCTAGTTTATAGTTTTTTTTTTATTTTTTCTGATGAATTTGCGTTATATGTGGGGTTTTGGTAGGAATATAAATAGTTTTTTGTTAAAGATATGTTGATTCATGTATTCTTCGCTGCAATTTATTTTATTAAACTCAGTATTTTCTCGTTGGGTAATGGGAAATTTATTGAGTGATGTCTGGAAATCAATAAACGAAAACGATAAAATTCTCTATTTAACGACCATTGAGGAGTTGATCACTTACCATTCAGGAACCCATTTTCATAAAATTCCAATAATAAATCGGCATCCACCGCGTATTGTTCAAATCTACTTGTTCATCTAGAATTATCTTCATTAACTGATTAAGTATTTCAATTACTATTGTGAAAATGGCATCGTAGAATAGTTTAATAGGAAAGCAAGACTGAGGAAGCTACCGTGTAGCATACCGCTTTTTAGTAGAGGTAATAGTGAGGAAATCATCATGGATAAATCAGTTCTAACCACACAGTTGAAAAATGTTATTCAAATAACAGAAATGTTGGCAGTCAATGAAACAATATATAAACTTTCACTACAGTCATTGTGCAACTCAAATAAATCCATGTACATTCACAACTAACCCCAAATTTTCAAGAAACATTTGAAATTACCGTATTTGTTTGAGTTCTAGGTTCCATCTTCAGAAGCTTCTAGAAATACTGTACCCCGTTTCAACAGTTGTCACTAGACCAACTTTATGACACCGGGAATACCAATACAATACTTTTTATGATCGTATGCTTTTTACGATTCTACGATTTTATACTCTAGTGATTCTTCGTTTCTTCGTATTGGAGGAGTTTGGTAGACAATCCATTCGATATACCCCCATAAAAATACATTTTGGTCAGGTCAGGTCAGGTCATCTGGGTGACCACGCCACAAGCCCACCCCTACATATCCATTTTTAATTGAAATGATCGTTAAGATATTCCCATACCTCAGTTTTACAATGTGGTGGTGCAACATCTTGTTGTAGCCACATTCTAAATCTTGTTCCATATGGAACCCAGTCCAATAAATTAGAAAACT